CTGGAAGCAGGACGCCCCAGGGGAGCGCCGAGAGGTGGGGCGCGGGGTAGGCGGCGGGTCTGGTGGGAGCCGATGAGCACCTCCGCGCCGCACGCACTAGTGTGGACGGAATTCAGGCAGGAGCAGGAGGTGTGGGCGGACGGGATAGGACTCTTCCCAAGAGAAAAGACTGGTGGCCTTTTTGGGTCCCAATGTGATAAAACCGGACCTCTCCAGAGGCAAACCCACGGCGGCCAGCCTCCGTGCGGGTTCGGGGTCCAAGGGCAGCCGGGGCTCCTGGTGAAGACCTTCGGCTCTGGGTAGGGGAGCGAGTGCGCAAGGATGAACCGGTTCCGTTGACTTGTGTTGATGCATTTGCCTTCCAGGTGGCCACGGGGCAGCTGCTGTTGGACGCCCTTCTGTGCCTGCCAGATCTACTGGGCTTACTTCCTGGGCAGAGAGTCCCTCTGCGGCGGCGGGGCGGCCTCTCTGGGCCCCTGGGCCTGGCCGGTCATGGGCAGCACCCTGGGCTGCCACCGCTCCATTCCCCGGGACCCCTCGGACCTGTCCCACAGCCGCAAGTTCAGCGCAGCCTGCAACTTCAGCAACATCATGGTGAACCAGGAGCGGCTGAACATCAACACGGCCACGGAGGAGGAGCTGATGACCCTGCCGGGCGTGACGCGGGCCGTGGCGCGCAGCATCGTGGAGTACCGCGAGTACATCGGCGGCTTCAAGAAGGTGGAGGACTTGGCCCTGGTCAGCGGCGTGGGCGCCACCAAGCTCGAGCAGGTCAAGTTCGAGATCTGCGTGAGCAGCAAGGGCAGCTCCGCGCAGCACTCTCCCAGCTCCACGCGGCGGGACCTGCTGGCCGAGCAGCCTCACCACCTGGCCACGGCCATGCCCCTCACCCCGCGCGTCAACATCAACACGGCCACCCTGGCTCAGCTCCTGAGCGTCCGAGGCCTCACGGAGAAGATGGCCGCCAGCATCGTGGACTACCGCCGGGAGCACGGGCCCTTCCGCAGCGTGGAGGACCTGGTGAAGACGGACGGCATCAACGCCGCCTTCCTGGACAGGATCCGGCACCAGGTGTTCGCCGAGCGGTCCCGGCCCCCATCCACCCACACCAACGGGGGCCTGACCTTCACCGCCAAGCCTCACCCCAGCCCCACCTCCCTGAGCCTGCAGAGTGAGGACCTGGACCTGCCGCCCGGCGGGCCCACTCAGATCATCTCCACGCGGCCTTCGGTGGAGGCCTTTGGAGGCACCAGGGACGGGCGGCCTGTGCTGAGGCTGGCTACGTGGAACTTGCAGGGCTGTTCCCTGGAGAAGGCCAACAACCCCGGGGTGCGAGAGGTGGTGTGCATGACGCTCCTGGAGAACAGGTGAGGACAGGAACCACACCACAGGTGTTGGGGTGCATGCAAGAGTGGACTTTTTTTTGCGGGGGGTAGGAAGAGGGCAAGGGTATTTCATCAGTGTTCTCGAGGCCCCAGACAGTATTGTTACCTGCCGTTGAGGTCTCCTTCTGCTCCATAGTTTTCAGAATACAGCTGCCTGGGCTTGTGACCGGTTTCATGAATGAGGTCAATTCGCAGTTTGTGGGTGAGTGGAGGTCGTATTGGTGTTACTGCTTTGGAGTTTGACTCAAGTCTTCGTGGGTGTATACCCGCCAGGCCCTCAGAGCCTGGGGACTACAGCTCAGTTTTGCATGTGAGAAAGAGCCAGTTGGATTTTTTGTGTGTGTGTGTGTGTGAGCGGGAAAGTCATTTGTTTCCCTAAATAGGCCTATTTGTGTGCACAAAATCAGCTTAAACACCAGGTATTTGCAAACACATGAGTGGTGTATATTTACCAAAATGCCATGAATGAATCACTCTTCATTCTTTCCCTTATTTAGCCTGAAGCTGGCTTTCAGGCCCACAGTGGCAGCCCCAGATGTCTGCAACCTCTTCTGTCCCATAGTCAGCAGAGGTCACACGGACGTGGGGTGAATAGTTGCCACATTTTCCCACTTGACCCGCAGGAGAGGCTGTGGGGCGGGCTCATCACAGAGCTCGCAGTATTCACAGCAGAGTTCTCTGTAGGAACTTCCGCGAAGCCCCCATAAAATGAAACAATATTATTGTAGCAGTAACTCCTGCTGTTAATAAAATAGTGAACTGTATAATGCAATCAGCTTTGGGAAGGAAAGAGATGTTTTTAGGGTTCCTTCCAGGTCAGAACTCCTCCGGAGGTGGTGGCTGCTGGTGGGGGCTCGCTGCTTTTTTTTTGCGCCGGGTTGTGGGTGAGGCTGGCCCCGTAACCGTTTGGTGACACGAAGTGAGTTGGGGTTGGGGGATGGGAATCACAGCGCACGGTGACAGTGTCAGGATACACGGGTGAGGAGAAACCAGGTCACAGCGTCTCACTGGCCCCGTCCCAGGGGCCCTCTCGTCACTGAGGATGGAGGGACCGTGCGCCGGCTCAGAGGCCTGGACCCCGGAGCCCCGAGCCTTCTTTCTGCGCCGCCCTGTCCTTTGCTTTGCAGCACGACTCACTCCTTTTGCAAAATCATCTTGTGCACAGGTGAGAGCCGGACTCCGTCCTGGGAAATATTTATCCGGCATGGCTTGCTGTCGTCATCCACAGCAGCAGGGATGTGTGTACGGGACGGGAGCGGAGGAGGGCGGATGGCAGTTCAGTTCCCATCAAGAGTTTCCTGAAGGCTCATGTTGGGGGTTGGGGGTGGGGGGTGGGTGAATCAGGATCTGAAGTCGCCCCAGTGAGAATGACAGCCTGGCAGCTCTGGCTCGTTTACCATGACAGTGATTTTTCAACTGCACTGGCACCGACCAGCACTGGCATCCGAGACCGAATCGAAACCCTGATGTCTGTGTTTTCTCGCTCACTCCGGCCGGTTCTGGCGCACACTCAAGACTGAGCCCGGTGGACTGTGTGCCCCGGGGGCGTGCTCTGTATAGCGCCTTCCCTGGTGCTGGCTCTTCTGACAAGAGCTTTCTCGGTACTGGTTTTATGTATTATTATCTTTGGTTGTTCTGATCATCCCTGTATTTATTCAACCATATGATGGCCTTTGGTCAGAGTGTGAAGGGGCTTATCCGGCTTCTAGAATAGATGAATGTCAGGGTGGAAAATGGGAGGGAGCACAGGGGACAGCCAGCTGGCCTCAGGGGGCTCCTCCCTGCAGCGCAGACCCGGGTCGTCCGGGGCACGTGAGGAGTCAGCAGCTCTTGTCCGTGTGGCCTTGGCCGCATCTCTCATTTCTCACACCTGCCACACCTGTTGTCCTGTGGGGAGGTGGTTCCTTTTGTCTCCTCACAATGTGTTCAGTGTTCTGGGCTCGCCAAGCACCTTGTTAGGGTCTGGTAAACATGAGGCAATAGTTTTAGGGCCTGTGTGACTGTCCTAGGGCACCGAGAGAGGGCTGACGGACCGCCAGTCACGTGTCATCAGACCAGCAGTGCGCATTCTGCTAGAGCTGATTCACAAAAATCCCTCGCATTCCAGTGGATCCTCTTCTTAGTAAGAGGAAATAGGGTTAGTGTGAGCAAGGGTGGCTGCAGGTAGGTTTCCGGGTGGCGCTTTTTCTCAGACACGTGTACGTACAAGGGCCACCTGACTTCTGGATCGACTCTCCTAGTTTCCTACAGCTTCCCCGTTGGCCCGACTTCCCCAGTAGTTCCGAGAAGAAGGCAAGGCTTGCTTTGATTAATGATCTCCATCTCTGGGTGAGGAGACTAAAGGCAAAGAAGTTCCGTGATGAGCTCATCAGTGACTCAGCTGGGGCTCGGACCCAGACCTTCTGACGGTAGACCTGTGTTCTTCGCACGCATGCCATGTTTGGTAAGCAAGTCAGCTTTATCCACCTCTTGTTCAGGCATCCTACACTCTGCCCATTCAAGGACACGTGCCAAATTGTGTGCCAGTCGCATTTTCTTACATTAAGTCCATTGTAGATACATTTCAAACAAACAAGCAAAAAACACCTTGGCTCCACCTCTTCTGTGTTAAATTGGTGACATTCCTTAAGCTCTCCAGGTCTCAGTTTTCCCATCTGTTAAATGGAGTTCAAGAAAAAATGAGGCACTTCTTCTGCAAAGGAAATAGCTAGCCTCTTCTTGTCCTTTCTGAGGGTTTGCTTTAGGAGGCCTTTCCTTAGATTAAAGGCACCCAGGTGGGACTCTACAGGTAGAGCCTTCCTTGCCCTGAGGTGTTGCCCCAGGGGGTGGGGGGACCAGCGAGGGGAAGCTCCAAGAAACCGTGCTTTGCCTGCAAAGGCTGAGGCAGGACAGCAGAGAACTAGAGACTCACAGTCACCAGGAGCCTTCAGGGACACGCGACGAAGAACTGACAGTTTTCCTCAGATTCTGCTGCCAGGTCTGTCTTAGGCAATGCTTTTCCTCGCTCAGTATTTATGGAGCAAGACTGACAGAGGAGTGCTTCTGCCAAATATCCTTGCAGAAATTTGGTGACAGCTAACATATGGAATGAAGATTGTTCAGTTGGGTTTTTTGTTTTTTTCCTGAGGAGGAGTTCTAGTTTGAAAGAATGAGCCCCGGGAAACGGACAGATGATCTCCAAAAAAATTAAAGAGGTTTAATGTTCCACTTACCCAGACCCCCATGGCCTCCCTCAGAGGGAGCTGTGTCGAAGGCCTGAGCTTGACAATGGTCTAAACGTGTGTTCTTGCACATGTCTGTCTGTGGTATCAAAGGACAAGGGGAATGTGTGCCTGGCGATGCGTCCCAATTGCTAAACAAGGTTTTCGTTTATCCGACTTGATCACTAGGATCACTATAGACACAACTCATCTTGTCGTTTGATTCATTCATTGAAAAACTGCGTATTGAATGGCTGCCGTGGACATGCGCTCGCTAAACTCCAGAGTCAGCGTGGCCCTGCACTTACCAGAGTGAAGTGCATGCGAATCAGCTGGCACGGCCCAGCCTCAGAACCGTCCGGGAAACCCAGATGTATTTATTTATTTATTTATTTATTTTTAGAAAGCCACTGAGTGTGACTGATATCTGGCTGGATTTTCCCCATATGAATATGGGGTTCCTTCATCCTAGGCTAATGGTCGGCAAACTCATTAGTCAACAGAGCCAAATTTCAACAGTACAACGATGGAAATTTCTTTTTGAGAGTCAAATTTTTTAAACTTAAACTATATAGGTAGGTACATTGTTATTAACTTAATTAGGGTACTCCTAAGGCTTAGGAAGAGCCACACTCAAGGGGCCAAAGAGCCGCATGTGGCTCGCGAGCCGCAGTTTGCCGACCACGGTCCTAGGCGATTGGAGGGTGGGTAGATGTAGCCAGACATGGCAGCTGTGGCATTTGTTCTGATAGCTGTGGACACGGAGGCTCAGACTGGCAGCAGCCCTGTGGCCTTCTGAGATAGAGATGTGGGAGTCAGGGTTTGAAGCCAGGCCGCTGTCTGATTGCAGAGCCAGGGAGCAGAGCTGTCTTTTCCCAAACTCCCTGTCCTTGGACTGACCCCTGGCCCACCTGCTGCTTCCTCCCTGTGTTGGGTCTCTGGCTGGCTGGGCTTCACCTAGGCTCCTGGGCCCGAGGCAAGGCCCCGGAGGCCTCTGCTCTCTTCCTGTTTTTGTTCTGAAGGACCAGGCTGATGGCCAGAGGTAGAGCCGTGCGGAGGGCTCAGGGTCCCTCCACCCTGCCCCTGAAATGAGAGGTGGTGACCTTGCTCGCCTCCAGGGTGGAGCTCTGGTTTTCTGAGCTGCTGGGGTCCAACCCCAGCAGGTCCAGGGGTCCCCAAAGGTGTGGACGGAGTCGGCGAAGAAGGAATGACACGGAGACAGCGTTCAGTTGATCAGCAGCCTAGCCAGGATCTCCAGCCAA